GGAGGGTAACAGGCATATTCCCCAAGCCCCTTGGACCCTGTCCTCAATCTCGTAGCTCCCCCCCCCGTTCTCCAATTCCTCATAGCGTGTCTCAATAAATCCCCCTGTGGTTTGTATGGAGCCCACTTGAGCACATCAGGACCATTGCGCGGACAGGCCATCGACGAGTCAAGAAGTGCAATTAGGATGGCTGCAGGGTGGATGTGTGAGTAGGGACCCTCGAGGTAAAATGGAGATAGGTATGGTGATCAGCTCCAAACAAACGCATGTCCATAGAATTGCCATGAACAATGTGACATTCACATCACTCCCATAGAGCGTTTGGCTTCGATGCGAGGCGAGGCTGCGGGCGGCAACTCCCTGGGAAAGCAAAATACTCGTGGGACAGCAAGAACTCAACAGTGCCACAACACTCAAGGGGAGAGATAGACCTCATCTGCAATTGGCGTTGGTAGAAAGGCGTTGGAAGGTGAGCCCCAGTGGAAAGATGGCCAAGAACGGATGCAGATCCAAGTGCAAGCTTATCGAGTTTCAGAGGTCTTGAGCTCCCCATACTTGGGGGCGAGAATTGGGCACATAGAGGTCACAGGTGGAAATAGAATATGCAAGTGGGTTGGACGATTTCTGGGTGATTTGTTGAATGACTTGTTCAAGTCAAGTGCTGGATGATTTGTCGGATGATGATTCAATCAAACCCCAGTCATATATGCTATGCGGTGTAACATCCACCGACCGACGATAGCTCAGTTGGTAGTAGCATCAGACTGTAGTGAACGAGCAATCTGAGGGTCCCCGGTTCGACTCCGGGTCGTCGGATTCCAGCCTTCTTGGCTCAGTTGGCAGAGCGTCTGCCTAGTAAGCAGAAGGTCACCAGTTCAATTCTGGTAGAAGGCATTCCTTTTTCTTTTCTTTTCTTTCCCTGGTCCTGGTCCTGTTCCTGTTCTTGTTCTTGTTCTTGTTCTTGTTGCATCTCGCTCTCTCCTTTGCTGTTGCTGATGCTGCTTCTGCTCGGTGCTGCTGCCTCACCTCATCGTTGCTGTTGCGGTTTGCATGGTGCGTTTGTTGCATGGTGCGTCTGTTGCGCTGATCAACTCGCACTGTGTTGTTGTGCTCAGTCCCCATCGTGTGTTGCACTTCTGTCCACTTGCATCCATATCGTCGTGCCCGTGCATTTTGTTCGCCCTGTTGTCTGCTGTCTGCTGTCTGCTGTCTGCTGTCTGCTGTCTGCTGTCTGCTCTGGTGGCCATCGATTCTCGAGTGTACGGGCCGTGTACCATGAGCCATGCACCATGGGCCATGCACTATGAGCCTGCACCGCATGGGAGTGCCCGGATCCACAGTGACGATTGTCGATCTCCTCCTCAAGCACTCTGTCCTCGATCGTCCATGAGCCGCGTCCGCACAAGGAAAAATGTGTTGGTCGTATGGTGACAATTGAGAGGTCTTGTAGAGAAACAAATGGGCTTGGAGTTGCTGGGGGGGGCAAGACCAGATCGCATGTTGGCAGCGCATCATGGTTTCCAGTACCAGCATGACATGATTGTGGTTGTGGTTGTGGTTGTGGTTGTAGTTGTGGTTGTGGCTGCTGACTCGACACTTAGTCGTGGTGTATGATGGATTGATATCCCTCTCAACAAGGCATGGTTGGTCCAGTGGTAGAATTGCCGCCTGCCACGCGGCAGACCCGGGTTCGATTCCCGGACCATGCAATTTTGCTTTCGCTTTTTTTTTCTTCGCTGTCCCTTCCGTCATCTCACACACTGTTCCTCCCACTTTTGTCAATCCGCTCGCTGCCTCTTTGGCTTTCTCCCTCACGTCTTTCTTTCTCCCTTGCACGATTACACATTCGTTCAGCTCACATTTGCGCAATTCCACATTGGCTTCAGTTCCTTATTTGCTCAGTTGCGCATTCGCCCCATACCGCTCTCTGTTGTTCATCGCCTTTGCTTTCACCACTCTTCCCCTGCTCGCTTCCCCCCTGCTCGCCTGCCAGCACCAGAGAGACTCTTTGCCAAAGTGGATGCTCCGCACATCTACCACTGTACTGGGTACTGTACTGAGTGCTGTATCGGTACTGTACTGGGCGCGGCTCTTCAATGGCATGATGGGTTCAAGGCTCCGCCCACCGACATTATCGCCTGCTCTGCTCATCATCGCCTGCCCATTCCCCAATCAAACAACCAAACAATCGCACCGCACACGACGCGAACGCAGCACAACTCCATCCATCCTCCTCCCTGTCGGAGGAGCGTCGTCTCTCGGATATTTGTTGCTGGCGGCCTGCCATCTACCAGCCACGACCATCGCCCAACTCTGTGAACCTGCGTCGCGCCCTCATAGTATCAAAATTCATTGGCCTCGATTGTGCAATGCGCCAGGGCAAGCCGATTTGCTCAAAGCCATCATTCCACTGTCGCTTATACTTCGTTGTCCGGGCTTTGAGCTGTGAGCGGTCGAGCAACACTGGAGCTTCGTGCGGTAGATATGATGGGTCTACTTGAAGGACTATCCGGCTGAAAGGATTTGGAAGGGTTCACTGATGCCGAGCCTTCACTCATTGTTGTTGCCGATGACCTCTTGATGATCTTGGTGATATACTGATTGACGACGCAGAACAGGAAAATGTCCAGGACCCATAGGAATATGCAGACGGCGTTTCCGATCAACCCGGTGGCGTCGTATTGAGTGTATACTTGGAATCCGACATACAGCGCCAGTTCAGTTGCGATCGCCACAATGAGGGTCGCCCCTTCGCGCTTGACCTCATCCCTGCTTTCGAAGCGACCCGTTGTGCTGCTTCGACTTTGACTTGTTAAAGTTCGCGACGGTGCCGACGATCTTAGTACACGTGCAGAGTTGACGAGGGAACGCAGTCGAAACATCATCAGGACATGGAGACAGATGAGGTTGATTTCGAGTGCCAGGTTGAAAATGAAGTTGAGGTACCACGATTCGGCCGTGGAAATGACGCCGTAGGTACTGAGGATGAAGCACACATCGTTGGTGCCATAGACGATCGGTGCAATCCCAAATACAAAGAGCCATGCGTACATTGGCTCGCTGTTGACGGTCATCACTCGCAGTCTCAACAGGTATGCCCAACCGATAGAGGCGGACCCGATGCAATCGCCAAAGGCATAGAGAAAGTTGGCGAACTGGGTGCAGTATGTGTTGGCTGTGCACACGTCATAAAGCATCAGTTGATTGCCAATGCAGTAGAGTGCCGAGAATATGGTTGCCAAAGCCATGAGCGAGTGTATCTGGAGACCGCGCTGAATGTTGAATGCATGTCTCCACTTGACGTATTTTGTGCAATGAAAAGCTAAATTGGCTGTGCCGATGTAGACGACAATCGAAAAGATTGAGGCATTTTGCATCACAACGGGATCCATGGCTGTGGTCTGGATGGTCTTGAGGGCTGGATCGACAGAGGTTGAATACGCGACGATATGGACGTCGGAGGCACTCGGGATTGAGAGAACAGTGCCAAAGTTGATGGCAAGACAGTGTCGGCTTCCAAGCGATGTGGCCGGGCTCGAGAAGTGCCGCTGAGGATAGATCCGGGACAGGGCCGGGGGAGCAATGCCATACGCGCTATATAGGTTACGGCGGCGGGAATATGTCCTGATGACGTCGGCAGATGCCTCGGCCTCATATGTCCCGTTTCTGAGGACACACGGGCGATGAATGCTCCGCCTGTGTGTCTGTGTGTCTGTGTCTGTGTGTTCATCGGTCGGGATGACCGGTGCACAACTTGGATGGGTGACGTTCGGCATTGTGTGAGGGACACGGCGTAACACACACCCCTTCGATATCGACTCCAGTATGAAGGCACTGCGGCCGATCACCCATATATATTGCACAGGGCTCCGATCCTGCCATTGTTCACATCCGACTGACATCATATGCGTATTCGCCAGCGGTGGCATTTCATTGATGTCGATATTCGACGCAATCACATCGCCGACTGAGTCATTTGTGTTCTTCTCATCCAGCAGAATCGCCGAGGTGGATCGCCAGTCCAACTCCCGTGTCCTTGCACTGCATTGCTTCGCCTTCATCTGCCACCTCCATCAGTGTGTCCAGGGTATTAGATACCGACATATTCGCACCCTCGGCATGTTGGGGTCTTTGTGGAATGGACGGCTTTCATCATGTCACCAACATGAGGGAGGTCGAGCACCGCAAGACCCGACTTCCATCCTTGGATAGTGGTGCCAACTGTCTGGGCGAGGATGAGTGCGCGGCAGAGACGACTGAGGGCGAGATTGACCTTCCTTGAGGCCCAAACCTGTGATAAAAATGGAATCCAGTGGGCCTCTGCTTCTTGGCCACTCTCGACACATATCCCAAGACGATGTGCTATCGAGATTTGAAGTTGGCAGCAGTGCGGAAATCGCGGCTGTGATGCGCTTTCTTGTGAATGATGTATGTGCGCTTTGCCATAATCCGGCACGCTGAAGAGACAACTGAGCCCAACAGCTCCCACTGACAAAACCACTCCAAAGTCGGATCATTCATCCACTCGGCCAACAACGACCGAGTGGGAGAAGACGCAGAGCAAAGAGCGCAATCGTGTGGCGGGGCGGTCTGGATCGTGTCCACTCTTCCACCATTGTGGTTGCAGAACGAGGGATGATTTTGAATGTTGAGTTTGCTGTTGTCGAGAGGTCCGATGTTTCGGTCTGGCAATCGGTTTCTATCCGGCGATCAGCATCAGCGACCGTTGTGGGACAGCACTGTTTGTATATTGGATGTGTTGGATGTATTGGATGTATTGGATGTATTGGATGTGTTGGATGTACTGAATATCAAATACAACACCACCACACTTCCCCATCACTGAAAACACTTTGCAAGTGCACTCTTTGGTATCATGGTGTCTGGGATGGGTGATGGCACGGTTTGCTTGGCTGCTTGCATATTCAGTACTGTGACAGAATCCTTGGAATATGGCAATCAGGAAGGGCTCGGAATCAGGGCCACTTGCCGAGTTGCTCGAGGTTGAAGCTGGCATATCGGAATCCCTGCTCAGTGGACTTGCGATACCAGAAAACGGCGGTATTGGCGTCCTCGGGGACACCAGCGTCAACCTGGTAGCAAAGGCCGAGATAATCTTGTCCGTATCGATTGCCCTGCTCGGCCGACTTGCGATACCACTCGACTGCCTTGGTGTAGTCCTCGGTGACTCCATGTCCATAATAGTGGCACCAACCAACCATCCACTGCCCGTTGGAGTTGCCTTGGCTGGCCGACTTGCTGTACCACTCGAATGCCATGCGTCTGTCTACTGATTTTCCTCGGGCCCAGTAGTAGCAGCTTCCGATCCAAAACTGGCTGTCGCTGTGGCCTTCGTTGGCGAGCTGCTCAAGTATGGATGTTGCTTTCATTTTGTTCTTGGCGGTTCCGAATCCATGAAACAAGCACACAGCCGCGAGATGTCTGCACAGCCAGTCTCTATCTGATCCAAGCTGGCACAGCTCGAAGAACTTGCGAGATGCGGGCAAGTCACTATTGATGCTGTACCACCCCGCTTAAAAACACTCGGTCTCCCCAAGCTTGAATTCATCCGATTGGTTGTCTCAGATGATCTTGACACCTTTCTGCTTGTCCTGAACGGTACCCCGGACGAGGTAGTGCATCCATCCGACCATATGGGTGGCGATGGGTTTGATGATCGGATCGATAGACTTGGTGCTGACATCCCGCCAGTGACCGAGAGCAGCGACATCGCTCTGTTCGACACCATGACCGATGGATGAGACCAGGCCTTGGTGGGACCCCGGTTGATACCGATGCCATCGTGATAGCATCCAGCCAGTTGGAACTGTGCGATTGGATGGCTTGTTTTGGCGGCATTCTTCAGTTGGCGAAAGACTCGCTGGCGGATGGCTGCCTGCTTGGATTCGTTTTCAAACTGCTGATTGTCGAGATCGGTTTGGAGGATGTGCCAGGAAGTACGAGGCAGCAGCGTTTCCCCGGTCTGAGCAACGAGCCAGGATCGGTCGGTTGTCTCTTGATCATCGCAGCGCAGCGAGATGGCAATCTGGTCACTTGGTATGGGCCAATCTGAATCTGTCCGTCTGGATCGCACAGTCCGTTTGGATCGCACAGTCCGTCTTCTGGCACCGTTGTGGAAGCGAGGCAGCTTGGAGCTCAGAAGAGCCTGGGCGCATCTACACACATTCAAATGAATGCTGGGCGATATCGGGCATCGACGAGGTTGTTCTGGCTTCAGCTTGGCTTTGGTGGGTGGCAGATGACGTGTGGTTGAAGCAGGCTCGTTCATGCTGGCCATGTTGACGGAGACAGGAAGGAGGCAAGTGGGTGATGGATATAGACAGGAGACAGAGAGGGAAGTTGTGGAGAAGCAAGTCGAGCACTGGCAAGCCAAGCACACACACACATGTGCGTATCGAGTGCTCGTCCAATCAAAGTCGGAGCTGAATCAATCCTGGAATCGAAAGCAAGTCGAACATATCATCCAGTCTTGTCCGGTGGTCGGTGAACGACTGGTGTCGACGATGATTCTAGCGTCTCGTTGGCTCAAACATCAGTGATGCGGTTATGTGATTGGATGTGGGTGTGCTGTTCAACAGCGAGACCAGGACTCTCGTGTTGCCAATATCACAGACATGGTGAATGTGTGTGTGGAACAGTTACGGATGGATCGATGCAAACGACGAGCCCAGGTTGGCTGGAGATGCAAGTGAAGCTCCGGAGTCACATTCTGCAGGGATTGACAAGATATCACCATAGTTCGAGCTGATGTGATGCTTACACAGCCGAGCTGCGCACCTGATCACACACTGAGAACGCGGCTGTTGTGGACAAATGTGCTGCCCAAGATCCAGGAATAGCGATGCAGGCATATTCGATTGATCACGAGCCGTACCACACATTGATTTGATGTATCAGGGCTGACAGATGGACCATGGGTGGAAAAACTCTCCCACTGACCAAGGACAACTGGATCGGAGTGTATGAGGGCAGGGTTGGAAGGAATGCTAACAGCTACATGATCCGGCTTTTCTTATTGTTGTGGCCATGGTCAGAGGGCTTCTTGCGAGAGGACCCTGCAATCGAGGATCCGAGTGGTTGGCATTGCTGACCAATCTTTTTTTCAATATCAGCAATGCCGATCTCAGCCTCTTTGATATCTTTGTGCTCGGGATTCTTGATGGTCTGGGTCCAAATGTCCAAAGCTTCCTGGTACAAGCCGAGTGCGTTGGCGTATTCCCCTTGAGCGTTGGACACATCACCCAGATTTCTGAGGGTCGTGGCAATCTCAGGGTGCTTCCGATTTTTGTAGACATTTGTGAAGATATCCAAGGCTTCTTGGAGCATGCTTTGTGATTCGGAGAGCTGTCCTTGGAGAAACTTGAGTTTGCCATGAGCATCGAGGGTCCACGCAACATGCACATGTTGCCGAGTTTTGAAGGCCTTGACAAAGACACCCAATGCCTCGAGATAGCTGACTTCAGCCAGTTCGTAATTGCCTTGGATCAGAGCGACATTCCCGAGGCGACGGATCGTTATAGCGACATCGGGATGCTCTCGTGTTCCATAAACCTTGGTGTGTATGTCGAGCGCCTCCTGGTAGCACTTGAGGGCGGTCTCGTACTTGCCTTGAGACGAGGCGACACTGCCCATGTTGGCGATTGTGGTGGCTACCGAGGGATGTTCCCGCGTGCCATAGATCTTGATCTTGATGTCGAGTGCCTCCTGGTAACGTTCGAGGGCGGTCTCGTAGTCGCCTTGGGAGGAGGCGATATCCCCGAGACAATGGATCGCCGTGGCTACTGAGGGGTGTTCTCGTGTCCCGTAGGCAGTGGCCATGATATCCAATGCTTCTCGGTAGTGCTCGAGGGCGGCCTCGTAATTGCCTTGGGAAGTGGCAATATCCCCGAGGCATTGGATCGTGGCGGCGACATCAGGGTGTTCCCGCGTGCCATAGACCATGGTCTCGATCACCAACACTTCTTGATAGTACTTGAAGGCAGTTTCGTAGTCACCTTGGGATGATGCGATATTGCCCAACTGATGTATCGTGACAGCGATATCGGGGTGTTCCCGCGTGCCATAGACCATGGTCTCGATCACCAGCGCTTCTTGATAGTACTTGAAGGCAGTTTCGTAGTCACCTTGGGATGATGCGATATTGCCCAACTGATGTATCGTGACAGCGATATCGGGGTGTTCTCGTGTGCCATATACTTTGATCTTGATGTCGAGTGCTTCTTGATAGTGCTTGAGAGCGACTTCGTAGTTGCCTTGGGCGGAGGCGACGTTTCCCATCTGATGGATCGTGGCGGCTACCGAGGGATGTTCCTGTGTACCAAAGACCTTTACCATGATTCCAAGTGCATCTTGGTAGTATCTGAGGGCGGGTTTATAGTCACCTTGGGATGATGCGATATTGCCTAACTGATGTATCGTGACAGCGATATCGGGGTGTTCTCGTGTACCATATACTTTGATCTTGATGTCGAGTGCTTCTTGATAGTGCTTGAGAGCGACTTCGTAGTTGCCTTGGGCGGAGGCGACGTTTCCCATCTGATGGATCGTGGCGGCTACCGAGGGATGTTCCTGTGTACCAAAGACCTTTACCATGATTCCAAGTGCATCTTGGTAGTATCTGAGGGCGGTTTTATAGTCACCTTGGGATTCGGCGACATTTCCCAACTGGTGCATCGTTGCTGCGACTTCAAGGTGTTCTCGTGTACCAAAGACTCTGGTCTTGATATCGAGTGCCTCTTCATAGTACCTGGAGGCGACTTCGTATTTGCCTTGGGCGGAGGCGACGTTTCCCAACTGGTGTATCGTGGCTGCGACTTCAGGGTGTTCTTTTGAGCCGTAGAATTCGATGCATTTGGCAAGATGCTGCTCATATAGCTCCATCGCCTGGGTGTAGGACCCGCGTATGTCCGCCATCTAAGCAATGCGATATTCGACTACTTGATGAATGTCCGCGGTATACCCATCTGCTGCCACCACCGCCGAAAATTCCTCAAGATGCTCCAAGTACGGATATGCATCCACCAGCAGAGATTCGGTTAGCTCAATCAGAGCTTCACCCGCTGCATCTTCAATCGCCTCGGCATTCAGTTCACTGTGTGCTTGGACATACTCTCGAGCCACTTGCTGGGTGAGCGAGTGTGTCGAGTACCGTCCCTCGTTTCCACTTCGGAGGAGACCACTCTGAACCACCATCTTGATCAGATCGGCCACTGTGGACAGATGGATGATCAGTTCCATGCACTGGCACCATCAACTGCACTTCGATCCACTCAACTCACCTTCGATCTTGAACTCCATCTTCTGTACAATCTCCTTGATCAACTCAAACTGGATGTTGGCCGGTGCCACCAGACTGAGGGCACCGAACAGCCTGGTTGCCTCGATGCCCTCATCTCCTCGCTTCATCAGCGAGTCCAGCGACAGATCCACAATCACCTTGAGCGACGACCGCGTGTCGTCCTCGCCATCCTGCAGCGCCAATGCTCCTGCAAACGTGGCCTCGAGCTCCGACAGGGGAGTGTCGTAGTTCTCGGCAAACGTCATGAATGTCTGGATGACGAGTGGATATCCGCTGATCTTGGCCACGATGTTGTCGAGGGATTTCCTGGCCTCGTCCGACACAAGTCGCTGAACAATCATCGGCGATGACGACATGATATAGTCGAGTGTGGTGGAGTCGTCCCAGTTGCCGAGACGGATCAGATCGTGCTGGAAGCTCGGTACCTTGGTCTCAAGAGCACTGGTGAATGCACCAGGAGGCAGCGAGGCCAGCCGGGTCGTCATCACCACATCGCCGCCGAACCCGACCGACTTGGAGTGCTCAAACACAGAGTCGACCACATTGATGTCATCGACATTGTCGAGCACCAGGAGATAGCCATGAGTGTTGGCGAGGAACCTCGAGGCATGTTCCTTGATCACATCGGGCTTGATGCCAGGGAACATCTCGATGAGTCCATCGATGGCAGTCGACTCGGTCGAGCAGTTGATCCAGAAGACCTGGCGGTACTGTGGCTTGATGCCGATGGTCTCGGCTTTGATGGCGAGGAGGTCGTCCTTGTTGCTCGCATTCATAATGCCCATCATGAAGAACAGGATCTGGATGGCGAGGACGGACTTGCCCATGCCACCCATGCCAGAGATGACGGCACGGCCAGTCAGGGTGAGTTGCTTGAGCAGGGTGTCGAGGTGGACGGGATCGAATCGGAACTTGGAGTCGCAAAAGTATTTGTCATGGATGGCCGTAATGAGATCCATGTTGGGTGGGATGGGATGGACGAGGTTGAGGAGGCGGTAGACTCGCTTGTGCATCTGGTCGGGACGAATGCCAAGGGATTGGATCTGGCTCACTCTGCCGAGGATCTGCTTGAGGGGGGCAAGGGCAGGGTCGTCGGGGAGGGACACC